CAAAGGGTATTAAAAAAAAATTAACAAGCCCTGACTACATAAAAGGAAGTTGCTGAATTTACAACCCAGCCTGCAGCTAGACCACCTTGCCTGCCGAGCAGGTTTGGACCAGGCCAAGTCTGCCATGGGAAACCCACTGCGGAGCGGCGGGCTGAGCGGGGAGGCTGATGGGGTGATAGGAGATCGGGCTCCAGCCCCGCGCTGCACCGCAGCCAAGCAGCCCGGCGATGCGGGCAGTGCCCTCCTGCAGCGGGACCCCGGGCTGCAGGCTCCCCATGGGCAGCCTGGATCTGGCAGCGAGCATCCCGGCATAGCGCAAATCCCACGTCAAAGGCAGGATGGCATCCCCGGAGCCTGAGGCAAATTCAGCCCGCCTCGTTGCGAGCTCGTCTGCTATTTCCCTCGTCTGCTATTTCGTAGGAACTGCGGCGCTTGGGCAGCCTGAGCTGCGGCTGGGAGACGGAGGCGGCTGCACGTCAGCGGCAAAAGCAGCGGTCGTGGGTGCTTGGACTCCCTCTCGGGGGGTGCTCCCGTCCAGCACCGGCCTGTGGTTCAGCTTTGACCATTACATGCCAAATTCATTTAAGGGACATGCACTGTGCAGCGGGCAAATGTAATTGAGAGGAGCAGAAAAGCAGTTTAAAGATAGGCACAGCAGCCTGCGGAGCCTGAAAGCAAGCAGGAAACCCATCTTAAGCGTGTTCCTTCCTTTGAGGCTGAAGCTGAATCCCACAATATGTTTTCTTCCCACTAATGCTTGCCTAGCTTCCTTTGGAAACAATTTAGGCTCTGCCCATGGTAGAATGTTTTCATCCATTAAGAAACGGATATTTTAAAGAAACCATAAGTCGATCTGGACAGGGATTAGGAAGCAGCAATTCAGTGTATTTGCCGGGCCCGTAATTCAGGACTTAACCTCAGAGCAGCCACGTTGCATTTCGGAAACAATAGGGCACTCGCTGCCTATGCCAAGAGGCTTCTTAAAAGTAATGTAATACTTTAAAAATGTGTATTTAAAAAGAAAAAGAGAGAGAGATTTTGCTTTAAATGCATATGCTGAAGCGTTCTGCTGATGACTGGCCTAGGTTAAAAACATCGCATTGGCTTGAAGTAACGGATTGGAAATCAGGCTGGTTAAAGCCGAGCAGTTTCCAGATCAGGAGATCTGAACGCTCGCCACCAGCAGAGACGACATCTCCCAAACCGGTCAGCAGACGCTAAGACTGGGAGAGGGAGGACGGAGTTTGCAAAAGGGTCCGGCGTTCTCCCTGTGAAGTCAAGGGAATTTGGTCTCGCTGGAGCGGTATGAAGAGTGGGCAAGGGGATGTTAAGTGCGTTAATCAAACCAGCTTGCTCTGTTACTGAGTAGATCAAATTTAAAATCACTTTGCAGTTGTCCTCCTGTACGCAAGGCCCCTACATGTTGCCGGACAATGCACACAATTGCTTTTGAGTGGTTGAAGATGTTTCCACCACAAAGCTAGAACACAGGAGCCGGCTGCGTGGGCGGTCCTCCTCTGTTGCAACGGGAATAAAATGGTTCAGCATGAGCCACTGCTGAAACATGGGCAAGGGCAAAGCGTCACGCGGAGATTTGGGGGCTGCTAGGACCATCCCGGTTCTCCCCGGGAGGACGTGTGTCTGTCACCATCCCCCTTCCCCCAGAGCAAGGGGGCCCCGAGAAGCAGCCCAAGGCAGACAGAAGCAAGTTCCTTTAACATCTTGCTTCACTTTTGAGAGCTACTTGATTTTTTTTTTTTTTAAAGCTAGAAGACAAAACTCGAAATGAAGCAAGCACGCAAGGCTCTGGCTTCGCGTGCCCCGTAATAAGGAACCATTTCAAGCCATCCTAATGACAGCTTGGTGTCTCGCTGCGGAGATGGGAGAGCCGGGATTTCAAAACCTCAGATTTTTCAGACCTCACTGGAGAAGTATTGGGCCAAATCCTCAACAGAGGCAAACAGCTCGGCTCTGCTGAAGCCGGGGAAGCAGTGCTGGCTGATGCTAGATGAGGGTCTGCCTGTCCCACCTGCCCGGCTACCGGGTCAGCTTCTCATCTCACTGGGGTGAACCCAGAATTACCCTATTTTCCCCCCAAAGCAGCGGAAATGGGAATGAAATCTGGTCTGTGGAGGGCTGCAGAAGTCTGTCCCATTTGCAGACAGGCATGGGAAGGGATCGATTCTCTGCCCATCGGCACGGGGTAAGGCAAGACTGAAGCCACTGAAATACATTGACACTGGGCAGTGGGAAACCAGTGTGAGAGCAGGATCTGACCCGCTCAGCCGCGGTGCTGAGCATGCTGTCCTCCCATGTTTCCTGGCATGCCCTTCAGAAACGATCGGTTTTCTCTTACCGGGAGGTTTTTGGTTTGAGACCATTTAACCTCAGGATGATCGTTTTACAGGGGGACTATTTATAACCTCCAGGGCTTTACTGAAAATCTTCTGCAAATGGTTGAGGGCCAGATTCTTCCCCACTTACGCCAGCGCCCTTGCTGTGATCTCCACTGCGGCCACAGCCTTCGCTCCCGAGGAGGAAAGACTGGACTGGGCCAGAGCAAACACATCGCCAGAGGAGCCCGGTTCCTCCCCAAGACAACCGCTGTCTCCTACGTGCCCGTCTGCTTCAAAGCCCGAACGCCACGTGCTGCGCTCAGGGCTTTGAGGTGCCTGAATGCCCCCTCGCTGGCCGGGGCTCTTTCTGAGCATCTCAGCTCCCCAGCCTGGCTTTGCCAGAAGCGGATTAAGGAAGCGCTCGTGCAAACTGCTCGGTCAGCAGAAGCGGGAGGCCAACCACCTCCGGCACACGAGTGGAGGGCTGCCGGGCGTAGGTGCTCGCAGAGGGAGAACCAGCCTCTCCGCCTCTCCCTGGCCCCCTTTAATCCCCGCACGGGGATGCAAAGATGCTAAAACCATTAAGGCGTTAAGGGAAGCACCCAGGTAAAGGTTAGCAGGGGCTGGATGAACTCCAGCCCGCCCCGTTCGTCTCTCCTAACCAATATCTCGTTATGCTTTTCGCTAATCAGCTTCTTGTGCATGTTACCTAAGAACGTGCCAAGTCGTGAGAATTACAGGCCTGTTAACTCCTGTGTTATTCTTGGCACAGGAGGGGCTCCACTTGCCTGGGTAAAAATTATGATCTTTGTGAATAAGCCGTGTGTGTGTGAGAGAAAGGGTTGGGGTTTTTTATTATTATTATTATTATTACGATTGGTTATAGTCAGCGTTGTGTCAAAAAGACAGGGCTGAGATTAAAATTACCGGGCTGATTCCGCTCCCAGTTACGCTGGTAAGAACCCACAGTAATTTTAAGACAGTTCCTCCAACTCGGGACCAAGGGAGCCAAGAGCAGAGCGTGCACGAACTGCCTGTTGCAGCATTCCTGGTACTTTGGATTCACTCCGCAGGAACGGTTTTCGATGGCTAATTTTGTGTGTCTCCACTCCCGCTGTCACTTGACATTTGGGAATTTGGCACGGACGGTAGCTTGTGGCCAGTTTCATTTTTTTTCTTGTTGAATTTGTGTCATCACCTGATTCTTTGCTCC